CCCCAAACAGTCCAGTGGCACCTTTAAGCCCAAGTTTTATTCAGGTACAAGCTCTCCCTCCTCTGAGAGGACAGATCTGCACGTCCCCCCCCTCCTCCCCAATAGCTAGCAATCCAAAACAGTCCAGTGGAGCCTGAGCGGTGGGTGTTGCCTTCTGACACACTTCCGGTGATGTCAGGGGGTGTGGCATATGCAAATAAGTTACGCTAATGGGCTTCCCTCCTGGCCTCGGGACTTACCTGCAGAGAGAACCACGACCCACCTCTGGGTCCCGACCCGCAGTTTGACAACCACGGCCTTAGAGCCAACTTTGGAGTGGTTGCACCTCTTTTCTACGAAATGACCCCTGGAGGGAACACTGCTCACAGGGTGTCTGTTGTGGGGAGGGGAAGGGAAAGAAGATGGTAAGCCGTTCAGAGACTCCTTCGAGAAGTGAAGGGCGGGGTATAAATCCCGCCTCCTCTTCCTCCTCTTCTTCTTCTGAGGAAGTTCGCTCAACACTGCTCGAAAGGCGCAGGGCTTAGAGCCGTGGGCCTCAAACGCTCGGAAACCGGGCCCTCTTCTAAACTGATCGTACCTTTCAAGACTAGGGTTGCCAGCTCCAGGGTGGGGGAATTCCTGGAGATTTGAAGGTGGAGATTGGGGAGGGCAGGGTTTGTGGGCAGGAGGGAACTCAACCTTGTATAGAGCCCGCCCTCCAAAGCCGCCAGTTTCTCCGGGGCAACTAATGCCTCTAGTCTGGAGCAATGCTCCCTCTAAGCTGTGAGCAAAAATTCTACTTTGTGAGCGACTGGCATTAAGGTTGTGAGCGAGTGATTTGGCTACTGCATCAATGAGTTTGCTCTGGAGCCCTCCTTCCTGAGCGGGAGTCTAAAAAACTGTGCTAGCTCACACTAACTCAGCTTAGAGGGAACACTGGTCTAGAGATCGATTCCAGGAGAATGGAGATCACTTGTGATTCCAGGAGAACTGGAGGCTGGCAACCGTCTTCCAGACCCATTTGCAAGACCACACCTCCCTGCTTCCCTCCTTCCCTGTCGTCAAATGTAGGAATCTTCACATCAGTTAACGGCGAACACGTTTGTATTTTATCTTTCATGTTTTTAGAATTGTAAAGTACATAGTACTATACTCGTTTGTATTTTATCTTTCATGTTTTTAGTATCGTAAAGTACATAGCACTAAAGACTGACAGGCTGCTCTCCGTGACCATTTCACACCTGATGCAAAAGCAAAGTCCTCAGTTACCTCCTCACGGCACCGCGGCAGGGCTCTTTTTGTAGCAGGTACTCATTTGCATATTAAGCGACACCCCCCTGATTGGCTACATTAGGGGTGTGTGGCCTAATATGCAAAGGAGTACCTGCTCAGCATGTCCCACCTCTTCCCTCCTGGCCTCGGGACTTACCTGCAAAGGGAACCACGACCCACCTCTGGGTCCTGACCCGCAGTTTGACAACCGCTGCCTTAGAGCCAACTTTGGAGTGATTCATCTTGATCTATCTGAAGAAGTGAGCACCAACTCATGAAAACTCCTCCCCTGCCTCAATTTTTTTTAGTCTTTAAGGTGCCACTCGGACTCTTGCTCTTTTCTGAGGAAGTGAGCAGCTACTCCCGAAAGCTCCTCCCCTGCCACAAATTTTGTTAGTCTTTAAGGTGCCCCTGGGACGCTTGCTCTTTTCTACTGCTACAGACAGACTAACACGGCTACCCATCCTGATCTATCTCTTGGGGTTTTTGTGTTCTTCTCTTATTTCTAACCCGTTTGGGCCTACAAGTTCTTGTTCCTTCTCTTTGTCTCTCTCTCTTTTTTCCCCAGGGAGCTCTGGAGCGAGATCAACTGGCTCCTGGTTGGGTTTGGCCAACAGATCTGCTTGCCCATAAGCCCGCGATGCGGTGATTGCCTCAACAGGGACATCTGCCCGGCTTCCGGGAAGCGCTGAGAAGCAAAAGGCTTGCCATGCCCGTTCCCGTTGGCACTGCTGATCGCCCACTGATTGGGGGAGGAAGACCCCCGTGAAGGTGAGCACCCATCTCCTTTGGGACAGCGGCCTGGCAGAAGGGGTCAGATCTAATCCCAAACTGTGCAGTTTCCGGCATTCCCCTCCATAATGTGCTGGTGGAACAGGATCAATGGCGACCATCCTTATACAAGAGGACCATAGAGATGATTCGGGGTTGGCATCCCAGACTGTACTTGGAGGACTCCTCCTTTAGCAAGGGGATATACAATGTAGAAAGCGGTTTAATGAATAAAATGCATTATTTTCAAGCTCAGGTTTTTGTCCCCTTGGATTCCTTTGGCACATTCAGCCGCACACCTCTCATTTCCAGTGGCTGTGCTGTGAGCTGCACATTACATCAGACAAGGCCAGGCTAAAACAAGCCACTCGTCTGTGGGGTGAAAACGAACATTTGCAAGTAAATGGAGGGACCTACAAATTCAGTTTGCATGTTCCCAGCTGCTGTCTTCAAAGGGTTGGAAGCTACTGTTTGGAAGCCAGAGCTTGCTAAACTGGCTAGCTAGTTTGGGTGTTTGGGTAGCAGGCCATTATTTTGCTTGTGGAGGGGCTGTGGCTCAGTGTCAGAGCCTCTGCTTGGCAGGCGGAAGGTCCCAGGTTCAGTCCCCAGCAGCATCTCCAGTTAAAAAGGACCAGGCAGGAGGTGATGAAAAAGACCTCCGCCGGAGACCCTGGAGAGCTGTCAAGAGGGGCTGTGGCTCAGCGGCAGATCCTCTGCTTGGCATGCAGAAGGTCCCAGGTTCAGTCCCCAGCAGCATCTCCAGTTAAAAAGGCCCAGGCAGGAGGTAAAGGGAAAGACCTCTGCCTGAGACCCTGGAGAGCTGTCAAGAGGGGCTGTGGCTCAGTGACAGAGCCTCTGCTTGGCATGCAGAAGGTCCCCGGTTCAGTGCCCGGCAGCATCTCCAGTTAAAAAGGCCCAGGCAGGAGGTGATGGGAAAGATCTCTGCCTGAGACCCTGGAGAGTTGTCAAGAGGGGCTGTGGCTCAGTGGCAGAGCCTCTGCTTGG